GAGCAGGTCATCACGGATAATGGACGGCAGTTTGTGAGCAAGAACTTCGAGGAATTCCTCACCAGATGGGGAATCAAGCATTCAAGAGCTTCCGTAGCATATCCGCAGGCGAACGGGCAGGTAGAGAACATGAACAGAACCATCATGGATGGTATAAAAAAGAAACTCGAAGATTACACGTCAACCTGGCCCGAGCAGTTAAACTACGTCTCGTGGACATACAGGACAACTCCCCGAACAGCAACCGGGGAGACACCGTTCGCCCTCGCTTATGGATTTCAGGCTAAGGTCCCAACTGAGGTCTTGGTGCCCACTCACAGAACCATCCACTATGATCCTGAGCAGAATGAGGACAATCTGCGTGCTGAACTCCACTTCATAGAGGAAAGAAGGGATCTCTCAGCCTTACGAATGGAAGAATATCACCGGGCGACTAAGAGGTATGTGGATAAACAGGCTAAAATCCGTTCGATTGAAGTTGGAGACCTTGTCCTGAGGAATAGAGAGAAAAGCAAACCGCTAGAGGGCGGAAGATGTCAAAGAATTGGGAGGGACCATACCGGGTCTGGAAAAAATACCGGATGGGGACCTTTTCCCTACAGGATACCGAAGGCTGTCCGGCAGGGATATGGAACGCTACGCACTTGCGGAAATTTTATCAATAAAAACGGCTATTGCCACCTCTGAAAAAAAAAAAAAGAGGGAGAACAATGCTTCCAAAGAGGCCAGAGTTAAGAGGAATATTGCGAGCCGAACGGCATCAACAAGCCGAACGGCATCACCACAAACTCGGCCAAAAGTCTCACCTTGATCCATAGATGTCATTCATCTCGATCCATGGGGAGCCATCATCTCAGCACAAAAAAAAAAAAAATACAATGTGCAGGATAACCAAGCCCGGACTCAGCTTGGGAGATGGTGTAAAAGATCTTGAGTAGGACGAACCGGGCGGCATCCGAAATCATAGGGTGACCGAGCGGGGGATCGGGACTCTGGTCTTAAAATCTTGCCTTGGCCATGCAGCTCGCCCGAACCTTATGGTGGTGGAACCCGAGCTGTATCCTGGAGGCGAGTCTCCATTTTGGCAGAGAATAAGGGGGAGACCCGAATTGGGAGCCTTATTCTCAATGGTCCATGATGGACATCTCAACCTCATGATATGGATGACCCCGGACGGTAAAACCGACGGTATGCATCAAAATTATGGGCTTGGAAGATGGCAGACACTACACAAATTGTGAAACTGTCTTGCAGCAAGAGGTGATTACCTTGCGGATAAGGAAAAACACGGATGATAACCCGAACAGGTTCAGACTGCTCGGGGACGGGAGGGGCGGATTGACAGATGTGGAACATTATGTCTTGCGCGTTCGGGGAACAACCAGTCGACGGTAACAAACCGGACGGCATGCATCTGAAACATGGTGCTCGGGGGCGCAGCAAGCATTAAACATTATGTCTTGCGCGTTCAGGGAACAACCAGTCGACGGTAATAGACCGGACGACATGCATCTGAAACATGGTGCTCGGGGGCGCAACAAGCGTTGAACAGCCGAACAGACTGCACCTCAACTTTGGTGCCAGGAACGGGTCGAACGGCTTGCATCTTAATCATGATGCTGACTTATTGTGAAAAAAAAAAAAGAAGAAAAGAGATAACTATATTCAGAAATGAACCAATCTTTATTCTTCGGCACTATTGGCCGGGAATTACACATGAGAAGAAGAAAAGGGGATTACAACAGAGATCACTAAGCTACGGGAGGATCCTTGTTCGGCACGGCATCCGAGTTGGAGTTCAGGGGATTGGCTGAGTCCTTGGCTTTTTGCCTCTTCTCCATCACCCGTTGATAAGCACGGCAGAATAACGGATCAAAACCTTCTTCCTTGGGGTCGAAGGGTTCGTCAAAAGACTCCTTGATCACCTCCAGATTCCGGTCGACCAGCATATCTTGGCACTTAACAAGGGTATCTTTTGCCAAAGCATTGGCAAAGGCTGTCCCGGACGGGGTCTCATCCAGAAGCTTGAGGCCATCGTGTAATGGATCCTTGCTCTTCTCTAGGAATTCGCCCAGATGCTTGCCAAGGAATTCCCGAGCAGTATTCTCGAGGGCGAGGTTCAGGCCTTTCCCCCGTTGGAAATCAATCACCGCTTGCTGGGTGATTCTAGAAATATCAGCCTGAACGGGGACTGCTGGTTGTCCGCCCTCCTTAGGTTGGGCCTTTTTAAATTTAACACCAGCAGCCTCGGCAGCAGCAATCTTGTCCTTCAACGCCCGGATCTCCCGATCGCGACGCTGGAGCCTCTGCTCCAGTTCGGCCAATTCAGCCCTAGCCTTATCACCCTTATTTGCCCGATCCTGAAGATCTGCGGCCATCTTCCGGGCGGCATCCAGGAGGGTCTTACTCTCATCAAGCTCCTGAGCCAAATGTACCATCTCCCGTTCAACAGCTAGGAAGGCCCGGTGATAATATGTACCGGCCTGAGAAAAAATAAAACAATAAGAGGTACGAATTCGTCCGGAGAACTTCAAACGCAAAAAACCTGGACAGTAAAATACGCACCTTGATGGTCTCCAAGTGACCTGCTTCGACCAAATCAGACCAATGGGTCAAATTGGTGAAGCCCTCGCCAGCCTTCAAAGAAGTGCTGCACCACATGGAGGATGCGGTCTGCCCGAACAGCGTCCGGCATTCAGCTCGGGGGCCCATGGCAGAAAACTCCACCGTCAACCGATCGGGGATCGGGAGACTATCTGAAACAACACCTCCCCTGTTGCCCAGCTTCCTTGAAGGGGGGGGGGGGGACCGTAGGCATCCTTTCCACAGAAGGATCCGTCAGATCAATGACCTGATCGATCGGGACCAAGGCGCCGCCGCTTTCAATCCTCGGCCGCTTGCTTACTGGCCCAGATTCCCGGCCAGCAAAAGAACCCGGCTGACTAGCTTTCTCCTTTCCCTTGCTGACTATGGCGATGGAGGAAGGAGTAGGAGCAGGACGCTTTATGGAAACGGGGGGAATCACACCTACAGGAAAGAACGAAGAAAAATGAACAGGAGGGGTGGGGTTGTCGGTGAAAAGCGAACGGCCAGGACGGGCCACAAGCCGCAAATACCCAGTGGTCTAGTAAGGCTGGACGCAATAACAGTGCAAAAAGAGGTCCACGTTGGGGGCAATTCCCAGGTCGTGGCACCAGACAATGAACCCATTCAGGATCCTGTAGGTGCTAGGCACGAACTGTGCCGGCAATACTGATACCCGGCGGAGGAACTCCACAACGAACGGGTGCAAAGGGAATCGCAAACCAGCAACCAAGGCATCCATGTGCACCAACACACATCCCGGACGGTGTCGCATGGGATGTTTGATGAACCCCGCATTGAACTGACGGGGTGGAGGTAGTAATTGGCGGAGCGTCTGTTCTGCATCAGCAGGAAGGCGTTGACGTTGCTTCCTGATGCAATGAAAGTTCAGACTATAACGGGGGGGGGCCGTTCAGGCATGCCCTTATTGTAGATGGCTAGGTCATCTCCCGACTGACATCCATCATCAGGGAGGGGCTGTTCGGGATGAAGTGAGACAGAAGACCCGTTAGAACCCGACGATTGGGTAGATGTATCTTGATCTTTGGGGTGAGCTTTTCCCCTTGAAAGGCGAATCAAAGTGGGTGCCATCTCTTCGGAGTCTGACGAACCAGAAAAGGCAGACATAGAATAACGGAGAAAATTCTAGAGAGAGAAAGCTTGAAGGAATTCAGAAGCAGCAGAAAAAACTGAAACAAAGTAGCTGCATCCTTATATAAGGAAATGCTACCGCCAGGAATTCGAATGAATAATAGACACGTGTCAAGACGGTTGAGAGAAGTTAAAGCATCCTTTGGGGTGGGTGAACACCCGAACGGGGTTGAAATCAGCAAAGTTCACGAACCTCTAAAAGCGTCTCCCCGAACGGGATAAAAGGAAAGGGCTACAAGCGTTTCCCCGAACAGGAAGGAAATTTATAACGGTGGTAAAAATGATGGGCGTACCCGAACAGTATGGTTATCTAACATGGAAGAATATGACAGATGCAACAAAGAGAGCAAAAATACATCCCGAATACCGGACACAATTTCCAACTAGTCAGAATGAAAGCTTACGAACGAATGAAAAGGGCACTAGGGTCTTATATTAAGATCATAAGTACAGACTGGACGGGTTCATTATGAACAACATGCGTTAACAAGATTATTAAGTCCTGAATTCTGGATTTAACAAGGAGTTCACCCGAACAGGTGACCTGATCGCTTCAGATTATGGAGATCACCCGAACAAAGCAACATGAAACGTATTGCGGAGGCGAATTGATAGGTGAAAAACAAATATAAAGTACAGTAAAAGTCACAAAGACGAAATGAGCAAGCAAAAGTTGTATATTCATCGGCTCTACTGGCCGGAAAGTACAAAAACTACTGATTCAAAGGAAAGGAAATACAGATAATGTCTAATCTATTGTTCGGGATGATCTTCATCGTCTTCATCATCGTCTTCATCAGCCTCATCTACAATCTGCACGACCTCCATCCCCAGGGCTCGCCGGCACTTTTTCATCTGTGCCATCAGGGCGTTCAGATGACCCGGATGGAGGTCAGAGGGAAAGTCGGAGGATTGCACTGATCGGCCCATATACTTTTCTAGGAGGGGGAGGAGAGGCTGGAGCATATGTTGGCAGCCTGAACTGTAGATCCCCCGGGCAAGGATATCAGCCCACTCCTTGGTGACAGGATGCTGATCAAGCACCCTGATCCCCTCCTTCTGGCGCTCCTCTCCGGCCACTTTCTCCAAGTGCCTCCCGAAGACAGCAGGGAGCTGTTCGGTGGCATACTTCTCCTTCAGAGCCAGAAACTCCTCTGAAGCCTTGAAGGAATCCCGAACAGCTGAAAGATCAACTGTCATTTCGGCCGGTCCGTCCGGGATCTGAGGAGGAGCCTCAGAGAATTTGATCTGAGCGGCCTCAGCTGCTGCAATCTTGGCTTGGAGAGCGCCCACTTTAACACGGAGCTCCCCTGCCTCGGCTTCTAGCTTCTTCCGCTCCTCAGCAAAAGCCCGCCGTTCGGCCTCTGCTGCCTGTTCGGCCGTTTCCTTGGCCATCAGCAAGCCTTGTTCCTTGGCCTGCCTGGTCTCCTTGAGCTTCAGGCTGTATATCCCTGCCTAGTGATCGAAAAGAAAAGTATGAGCACATGATAAGCTGACAAAACGAAGAAAAAGGTAAAAGTAAATTATGAACAAGAAGCTACCTTCAGGACAGTCAGGGCAATGCACTCCTCGATCTCCTCCACCGGTATTGGGGGAAGGTTGTGTCCATTGAGGAAACCAGAGGTGGACCAGATCTGGCTCGCTGGACAGCCACCCCTCTCCAGCATTTCATGAGCAGGATCATAGAGGGAGATCCGCTCGAACTGACTAGCCAGGTCAGCCTGATGGGCAGCCACCTCCTCAGCAGAGAAATGGTGGGACTGCTGGTCAGAAAAAAGCTGATCCACCAGCGTGTCAGCGTGAGTGTGCTGCTCAGGGGCAACCTGCTGCACAGGTTCTACATCCCGAACAGGTTCAGACTGCTCGGGGACGGGAGGGGCGGATTGAGAGGAGGCGCCCTGATCGGCCTTCCTCAACCTCTTTCTTTTTGTCTTCCTCTGCTGCTTGGGAGGAGAAGTTGGTGGCTCGTCATCAAGTCCAGCAGTGAATAGCCTACTATCATCCATGGCCGGTTGTTCGGGATTGGCTCCTTCGGAATCTGAAGATTCGCCTTGCTTTGGAGCTGAAAAGACAAAAGGAACAAATTAGTACCGAGCGGTTCACACGTGGATTAAAAAATTATATCACACGGGAAGGACCGCCCGGGCCATGGTACTTGGTTTTCAGTCAAGTAAGTCCAGGAATACGGGCAGTACCTATCCCGGCCTTAATTAGCCGTTCGGGAGTCAGGTAAGACATAATTTTGAAGCAGCCTCCTGCCTCCACAGCAATGACATCTCTGCTAAGCTCTTCGGAGATGAATGGCTCGGGGGATTTAGGAGGGAATGCGTTCCACTTCCTAGGAATCAAACCGTTCGGGACAGAGACAAAGAAGAACCTATCTTTCCAACCTTTGATGGAAGAAGGGGCATCGCAGAACAAAATGTGTCCTGGTCGGGAGCTTACCACCAGAAAATCGTGGGACTGCTGGGGGATAACTGAAAAGAAATAGTGGAAAAGTTCTAGGGTGGGTGTGACCTTGACACTGTGGCAACGACAAATGAAACCAGCTATCGACCGGTAGGAATTCGGCATTATTTGGGCTGGTACTACATTGTAAAAATTTAAGAGAGAGACAAAAAAGGAGTGAAGTGGAAATCTAAGACCAGCCTTGATTGAGTCGAAATGGACCACAACCATCCCTGGGAAGTGGCGCATTGGGTGAAGACCCGATTGAAGACGGAAGTCCACCGAATCAGGAATTAACATCTGAATTTGGGCCCGATTTTGGGCCGTGAGCTTTTGGCGCATAAGCCTAATAAGAGCTAGGTCAAGCTTATGACAGGAAACGCCGCTTGGAGGACCGGCTTCCATGACTTCCAATTCATCTCCCGATTTGGTGCCATCAGGGTAAACATCGGAGGAGGAAGAGGAATCATTGCCGTTAACCTCCGCCGGAATAGGGACAACTTGCAGCATATCGCTGGGGTTTTCTTCTGGAATTACAGTACCGGAGGTAGAGGGTTCAGATGAACGAAGGGGTGCCATTCTCACTGAACGAGGGAACTAAACAGTAGAAGAGAACTCGAAGGATACCTGAACAGAAGCTGCGGATGAAGCTCTAGAGAGAAGGATGAATTATAAGCCGGAGATGCAAAGTTTCGAAACCCAGAATCAAAACCAGAAGAGCCTATTTATACTCTGTCACGCCGATTCAGCAGCCAATCAAAAGAGGACACGTTTTTTGTAATGATGACGGATACACGTGTCACGCGGATAACCCTCCTCAAGAAATCATGACGTTTATCGGGGAAGTAAAACGGCAGTTGCAAAAAACCGTCAAAATATGCCTCGGGAACCGGCGGAATACCATCCGATACTCGCCCGAACGGCATTCGGGCAGAAATCTTCTACTTCCTTATGCACTCACTACCGTTCGAGACATAGGAAGTGGGGGACTAATGTTGGGATATTAGGTCCAGGCCCAATATCCCTAAGCCCAAATCCAAGAAAAAGAAGCGGGCCCAAGACAGTCCAAAGAAATTCCCGGACAGCATTCGGGATAAAGCTTGTACTTGGAACATTCCAAGGATCACTTACATCAAGGTGCCAGTGCTCAGATACCGATCGGCGTTCGGGATATGTCCATAAGCAGGATAGCACCTATGACGGGGTCCCACACACCGAACACCCTGCCCGAACGAGCAATCAGCAAGTGGAAGCCGCATTTAATGCTGGGTCATGGCCGCAGCAAGTGGGGGCATGGGTGCATACATGGCAGAAGTGACAGCCTACCGGATTTGGCCACGTGTCCACCTCACCCATCCCTATTTTAGTATAAATACCCATGTTTAGATCATTGTAAAGGGTTAGCATTTTAATACTTAGAGCTTAGCAATAGATTTACATCTCCCATCCTTGTAATCTCATATTCATCTACCGTTCGGGTAGTTTCAGTGTAATTGCTTTATTACAGAATATAAGTAAGTTCTTGAGTTGAATATTATCTGACTATTTTATACACATTTCAACCCTACCCAATATCCCTATAATATCCAAGGCTTGTGTTGGGCTTTCGGATCTTCGGGAATAAACCTCAACAAAATGTAAAACTACATTATACAAAAAAAAGTAACAATGACAATGAGTTGAAAATATTATTACCTTCGCCCCACTAACGTTGAGGCATGAAGGGTGACACGGTTATTGAGAAACATGAGTTTATGTGGTTGATATTGAATTGATAAAGTAAGAATAAAGTAAGAACAATTTAGAGACACATAAATTTTACCAAATTTCGTACAAGACACTCTTATTGGGATTTCTCGAAAAGGTAAAATTAGACAACAACATACTTTTTAACTTGAGAAATGAAAACATAATTTGGTGAGCTAGCGAAACTAACAAGTTATCTTGATGAAATGAGCAAAATTGAATAATAATAGTGAATTTTAGACACCTTAACAATGACACTTACAATTTTATGAATAGTCTAAATTATCCTTTGGTAGATTCTATGGCACCCATAAGGTACCATATATTTGTGTACATGGACCAATCAAAATGTTGCAATCGAATTATTTAAATCAAAATAAAAAATGAAATAATGATTTGGACCAATCAAGTGAATGCACATGGTAGGTACTGTACCCCATTTTTTAAACGGGTACCAGAGTTGTCACATTATCCTTAAAATCATATTGGTCCTAATTATACTAGCATTACTACTAAACTATAACAACTTTGAGACCCCCATATTTGGTGGGCCCCATTACATAGAAGTATAGAACCGATTTAGGGTCTGTTTGCAACAGCTTCTACTTTTAAAAAAGTGTTTTTTTAATGAAATGGGGAGAAGTGATTAAATAAAAATGGATAGTGTTTGAGAAAAAAGTGATTTTGAAAATTAAAAGTGGGTAGTGTTTGGTAAAATAAGTGCTTTTTGTGTAATATAAAAGGTAAAAGCACTCTTGACGCAGAAGCCGAGAAAAATAAAAGTTGTAGTATTTGGGAAAATAAGTGCTTTTTTAAAGCCAAAAGCTGAGAAGTGTTTTTTAAAATTAGTTGCAAACCACCCTTAGCATGTTCACCAGCCTTGACATTCTGGCAAGAGGGTAACTCTCATGCCCTAAGCAAGACAAAATTGACTTTTTTAGTATGTTGTATTTACATTTTAAGACTAAAGTGTTTAATACTTCGTACAATGTATGTGCTTTAACTCTGAGACAAAATCTGTTAATACAAAAGTTATACACCGTATTTTAACTCTTTTGGAAACTCAATTAGATGCAAAGGCTCCACGCTCAATAGCAACTCAAAATCCGATGAAGAAACAATCGCCACAATATAGTGGTGGCCTATGTATAGTAGCACCGATACCGGTACGCGGAAACGCGGAAACGGTGATACGTCAAAACCAAAAAAAGTAGGATACGGATACGGGGCCATATTTATAAATATTAAAAGTTATGAGGCTGTATTTACAAATATTAAAAGTTATAGGGGTCTATTTATAAATATTAAAAATACATTTTTTTAATATATATATACATATAATATCATATGATGTCTACTCATTCATTGCATTGAAGCATTTTGCTTTTTCAAGATACTTGGTAATAAATTCATAATATTTCTCATATACACTTGTGTATCTCAAAATATAAATGTAGTCAATAAGTCATTATTTTAAAATGAGAAATAAGTCAAACAACTACAATCTTGAAATTAAAAGTGCAAGTACCCACTTCGGAGTATGAGTTAATGACTTAATTCGGATTAGCCATATAGGCCCATTATTTGATTACCAAGTAAAATGTAGTTTTAGATTTTTATTTTTTTTAAGAATTTTATTAAGTAAATTTTGGGATTTTTGTTTTTCAAAAAAAGAAGTTGATACGGGTATCCGTCAGGATACGAGTATCGGAAACTTTCAAAAAATTACAAAAAAAAAAATGGAAACTTTTAAAAATTGCAGATACGGCCCGGGAACGTACGGTACGGGTATCCTAGAGTATCGGATACGGGAACGTATCCGATACGCCGATAAGCTACCCTAGGGAAGTATCCGTGCTTCATAGGTGGTGGCAGTCCACACTCAATCTTCGTCTCCGGTATATGCTTTGACTACAAACCAAGCTCTCATATGTTTAAAAATGGCAAGTGTAACCACTCCTTCTGTTCTGCATGCATGGCAAAGTACGTGACCTCCCAAATAGACCAAAACATTGTGAAGGTCACCTGTCCACACCCTAATTGTCCCTTGGAACAGAACCCCAAATCTTTGCACCCCATCTTGCCCAGGAAAGTGATTGAGAAGTGGGACACGGCTACAGGGCCGGTCCTATCCAGTTTTGGGCCTATAGCGAATTACTATTTTGGCCTTATTTTCAAGACAAACAGTAAATTATACTCAAAGTAAAAATTACGGAGTATAATAAAATTAGGAGAAATTACTCTAAATACGACTAAAAACGTTTGTATATTCCAAACTAAGAATATCATGTTTTTATTTTCTAAATAGAAGTAATTATTGTCATATTTTGACAGTATCATATTTTCCGAACATGACAGTAATTACTCATATTTCAGGAATTATCCCTACAACTATCTAATAAATGTTACAAAATAAAGTTGAAATTCACCCTCATATTATTTGAATTGCATATATGGACAAAAGTAACAACACAAGTATCAGAAAAGAACATTGTGAAGTAAAATTATCAATAATTGCTTTATAATCAATCTTTTCCAAGATCACATGTTCAATGTTTAAAATTGCTAATCCATTAAGTTTTTTTAATCATAATACATAATTGGGATGATGTTTGAGAATTGAGAGACAGTGGCAACCCAAAGACAATAATACAAATTGGTAATTTTGTAATTAAAAGAATAAAAAATCTTAAAGGCTAAAAAGATGTGAAGAGACATGATTTTATTGATTCAACAACAAATGTGTTGACTTACAACCAACTATATTTAAAAATCAAAACTAAATTTATATTCTTTTTTATACTTGTCTAGCTCTGTTCAACACTTTTTACCTATGCTTTAAAAGTCTCAAATTGCATGTCAACAAAAATTACACATTAGACCTTATTAATTAATTGAAATTATAAATAAAAAAAGAAGCCTACTCAAATTACATATAAAGAAAAAAATTTGGGTCTAATTCTCTTTCTACTTTTTTTGGGCCTAGGGTGGTCGCCCCTGCTGCCCTCCCCCTAGGACCGGCCATGCACGGCTAAATGTGAGTCGACGATTTCGGCGTCTCAGAAGACTTACTGCCCCTTTAAGGAATGTTCGGTTCTGTTGGTCGATGACGGGAGAGAAGTTGTGACCCGCTGTGAGTGCCCTTCTTGTCATAGGCTGTTTTGTGCACAATGTAGGGTTCCTTGGCATGCAAGCGTAGCTAGCTGTGAGGAATACCAAAGGATGAAGAAGAGGAGATATGTTGATCAAAACCTGGATAACAAGTTCTTTAACTTGGCCAAGGATAGAAAATGGCGAAAATGTCCCTATTGCAATATGTTTGTGCAGAGAGATGGAGGATGTGAACACATCTCTTGCAGGTTCTATTGGATGCAACTTCTTATATGAGTGAATATATAATTTGTGAAGTGATATTTTAAATGCATTAGCTCTGATTGTGTCTTTGTAGGTGTGAAGGCCACTTCTGCTATTATTGTGGGAAGAATTGGACGTATGGACAATTGTGTAACAGGGTATAGCAAGGGAGACAAATTGGAGATTTTGGGTTCTACCATTTCAACCAAGTATGTCACAAGAGAGGCTCAATGGAATGACGTTGATATCAAGAGATTGACATTGCAAGTTTGGTAGATGACTTTGTATCTAAATACGCTCAAAGAATGTCTCTTTTTAAATAAAATGTTTTTATTAATGACCACTTTTATTTTTATCATCATGTTTATTAATAACTTGTATTTTAACACAATTGACTTGTTGGAATTTGAAAAAAGTCCAAATATTGTTGTTGCAAGTCTTGCAAGTCCTCTAAGTCAAACCAATGGAGATACTATATTACTCCGTATTTGTTAAAACATTGCTAAATTCTTTGCTGCTCAACACAATAGTTTTGTTTATCAAGAAATAAAAATTTGGTAGGAATAAAACAGATACACTGTAGATCTATTTTCCATTGACATCAATTGAAATCCAGGCAATTCAAGTAGTAGGTCATTTGTTGCACACATGTCCGAACTCCCAATCAACCCCACATATGTAGCAGAAGTTGCATCCGCACCTACAAGACTAGAGTTGGGTCAAGATGCTTACATAAAGTAAAAATTTATTCAAGATATTACATCAACATTCGAGCCCATCACTACAAAAAAACACGGAGTTAGTCACGGATTTAGTCACGGACCGTAGTATAAAAAATCCGTGACTAACTCCGCTAGTCACGGACTTTGTCCGTGACTAACTCCGTGACTGTTTGGGCGTGACTAATTCTAGTCACGGTCATTTTATCCGTGACTTAGCGTAGTCACGGCTTAGTCACGGACCGTTTCCGTGACTAACTTGTCACCGGAATAACCACACCGGCGACTTAGTCACGGGCCTTTTCCGTGACTAATATAGTCACGGACAAATCCGTGACTAAACTTTCAAATTTAAAAAAATGAACCGCCAAATGTTACCGTTTAAATTTTCAAATTTCAAATTTTAGTCACGGACTTGATCCGTGACTACTTTTTTATTTTTAAAAAAAAAATTAAATTTGAAATTTTATAGATAACTTTTTTAAAATCGGTCGAGAATTTAGTCACGGCTCGGATCCGTGACTAAAGTTTTTTTTTTTAAAAAAAAAGTTTTTTTGTTTTATAAAAAAAATAAATTTTTTTTAATTATTCTTTAGAAAAGTTTATTTTAAAAAATATTTGTAGAATAAAAGTAATAAACGACTACTAGAACACACATTTCATAACCAAACAGACTGAAATAAAAGTAATAATAAGCACAATAGAATTATAGTAAATAAACAATGTTCAAATAAAAATGTATATCATTTACAAGCTCCTCCGGTTACCATTATGATAATATCTAGAATCATCATATAGGTAATCTTCTTCGGTCTCATCTTCTCGGTTGTCTCCAGCTTGGCCTTCTCGATTGCCACCGCGACTGCCTCCTCCGCGACTGCCACCTCCGCGACTGCCACCTGCTTGGCTGCCTCCAGATGTTTGAAACAGGTTGTGAAAATTGATATCCTGAATAGAACCAAATGAAGGCAACCCGGTAGCAGAGTTGGTACGGAAATAACCGCCCATGTGCGGAACTTGAGGTGTCTGCTCGGGGTGCAGTACATACGGCTGAGGCTGAGGCTGATTCCGAATTCCGGCGCTGAGGATCCGTTCCATCTCTTCCAGCCGGGCCCTTGTTTCTTCATCTTTTTTGCGTTGCTCCTCCAAGGCGCGCTGCTGCTCAGCCAAGGCCCGCTGCTGCTCCTCCATCTCCCGCTGCATTTGAGCGATACGCGGATCCTCTCCGCGCCTTGATCGGGAAGATGAAGCACCGCTGCGGTCGTACAAGATCCGTTGCCCCTCAGCCCCCATGCACGGGACCCGGCCCTTGTACACCCCAACTGCCTCAAAGATGGCATCATCCTCCACATCAGAATCAATCTCATCCTCCTGAGTCAAGCCTAATTCTGCCCGCCTCTTCTCAACATTTGTGTTATACTTTGACTACATGTACAAAAATTGTTAATTTAATGTTACTCAATTTGATTTTGAATGGAAATAAGTAACAAAATAGTGTTACTTACTTCGATTTCAGCGAGGCGGGGTGGCAGATCGGCATCGGACTCATCGCCGTGCTTTGTCCAGCAGTGCTTGATGACCTTGAGAATTGAGACCTTCTTCTTCTCAGGCCCCGACTACAATTTGGAAAAAAGGCTTAAGATCCATAATTAATTGTTAAAATAAAGGGTTGTAATTGTGTAAAGTTTTTTGAAAAATACTTACAAGATCTTCCTTATGTCTACTCTGAGGTTTGCGGCCCCCATGCCATTGGGTTTCTAAGGCTTTCTCCATGCATATCGGACATCCCATCAGACCGTGTGTGCTCCATCCCGAAAGCATGCCATAGGCAGGGAAGTCGCTAATGGTCCAAATGATGGCAGCTTTCATGATAAACATTTTATCTGATGAAACATCATAAGTTGGTGTCCCAACGGCCCACAGTTCTTTCATCTCCTCGATAAGGGGTTGGAGATAAATGTCTATCTTTCGCCCAGGATCCTTGGAACCCGGACAAATTAAAGACAAAAATATGAAATGACTTTTCATGCACATGTCGGGAGGGAGATTGTAAGGAGTTAACATGACCGGCCAACATGAATAGTTCTTGCCAAACCTGCCAAAAGGAGCAAATCCATCTGAGCACAATCCCAGCCGCACATTTCGTGGCTCCATAGCAAACTGAGGATGACAGCGGTCAAAGTGTCTCCAGGCTTCACAATCTGAAGGGTGAGCCATCATACCCTCGTTGGTTTCGTGCTCAACATGCCATGTCATGTGTTTCGCAGTAGCAGTCGAAGCGTACATCCTCTGCAGTCGAGGAGCTATTGGGAGGTAATACAGTTTAGACAGTGCAGACCTATGTCGTGGTTTCTTTTTACCTTGACGAACAGGTTTGTATCTGTCTCCACCACAGAACTTGCAGAACTCAAGTGCCTCATCCTCCTTCCAGAACAACATACACCCTTCCGGGCACGCATCAATTTCCACACAAGGTAGCCCCAACTTAGACATTAACTGCTTCATGTGGTAATATGAATCCGGAAGGGTATGATCTCGCGGTAGCATCCCTCCTACTGACTGCAAGACTCTATTCATGCAAGTTTCAGGGAGACTGTATTCGGCTTTTATGTTCATGAATTCAGTAACGGCGGATAGCTGAGAGTATCCCTCACAATCAGCATACAGAGGTTGGTCGGCAGCTTTTAGAACATCCTGAAATCTCTCAGCCAAACCTTCATCCACATAAGGTTGATAAAATGTCGGATTTTCATCCGCATCTTGTTGATACGAGGTTGAGGCTTCAGGGGGGTCGTTAGGTGGTTGTGGGGGGTTGAACTGAGACATCGGTACACCGTATGCGTCATATACCATTTGTTGGTCCCACCTCATTTCAGCACGGTCTCCCCACGCACTCATCTCTGGAGGGACGTAACGAGACGAACCTACCGTTTGTGGTATAACAGATGGATCCAAAGGTTCGCCGTGAGAAGTCCAATTATAATAATTGGGAACAAAACCGACCGCGTACAAATCATACCCAACTTCGTGTGGGTCTTTAAATTTGAGATTTTTACACTTTGAACATGGACATCTTATTTTATCACCACTCATATAAGCCGGATGTTCAAGTGCAAATTCAATAAATTCCCCAACTCCCTCGAGAAAATTTGATTGCATTCCATACAATACCGCATCTTTATCATACATCCAACTTCTATTTTGTTTATACATTATGCCTGAATATTATAATAAAAAAGTATACACGTTCAAATACTAACAATAATACTAACAAATTTTAAGTGAGTTATTTCACTAAATAATCAACTAACTAATTTTCACTAAATTAAATGAAATGCACACAATTCACAACAATAATTCACAAAATATAAGTAATTACCTAATACTTAAATTTAACTAATATTACAAAAAATTTAAGTAATTTATTAACACTACATTTAAATTAAACATACGTTTAACTAAATTTAACTAATTCATTTAGTTAAATTTAACTAAATTTAACTAGTTCATTCCGTCCTCTTTTAATGCATCACTACGTTTAAACCCACGTTTAACTAACTAATATAACATAATTAACACATCACTAGCTACGTTTAAACCTACGTTTAGCTAACGAATTTTAATTAAATTATTTTTGTAAACCTACATTTAAACCTACACTAAATTATTACGTTAATGACATTTAATGTTATTAGTACTACACAATTAACAATTCCAATTCACTAAATTAAATAATATGACCAAATTAAACCCAATAATTTGAACATGTATATAAGGTCATTTCAATTAATAAATAATACACAATTACAATAACAATTCACAATACACTTAATTAACACATTACTAACGTACGTTTAACTAACTAATTTCACTTAACATAAAGTTTAACTAACTACGTTTAAAACTACGTTTATCTAACTAATTTTAATTAAATTATTTTATAAACCTAACAGTTTAACTAATTTTATGACATTACTACGCTTACAGTTGAATATGTTGTTAATTAATTAACAACATCACTAATTTAATAATTTTAATAATTTAAATTGAACCAGCTAATTCTAAATAAAAATAATAATTCAAATAACATACCTTAACTGCATAAATGGGGATAATGATAGAAGACAGACTACATCCTTTGATTTTTCAAACAGATACTGTATATACTGGGAATGAATTCGTGTGGTTCTGTTGAATGAATGAGGTGCTCCTGCATATATAAAAAATGTAGTCACGGACTTAGTCACGGATTTGTCCGTCACTAAGCAAAACCGTGTCCATTACGCGTCCGATCCGTGTTAATGACATGTAAATGACGTGTTAATCAAAGTAGTCACGGACATAGTCACGGACATGGCCGTGACTAAATTTATCCGTACATAATGCCGTTGAGGGAGATTGATTTATGGAGATGAAAAATTATTTTTTAAATTTAGTCACGGCTGTAGTCACGGATGTGGCCGTGACTATGTCGCCGGAGTAAAACAAGCCAGGTCGGAAAAACAAACGGGCAATCGGAGGATGTTAGTCACGGACAAATTTCCGTGACTACTCGTAGTCACGGCATTAGTCACGGTCAAATCCGTGACTAATTTTTTTTTTGAATTTTCGTGAATAATCCGTGACTAGTCCGTGACTAGGCTAGTCACGGACCAAATCCGTGACTACGGTCCGTGACTAAACGAGTGTTTTTTTGTAGTGCATTCAATCTTTAAAAGTAAAAATATACTCCGTATAAATCAATTTTTTTCAGTGAAGTACATAATGTAGACAAAGTTAATAGAAGAAAATTTAGAAGCTTTACTTGTGTTGCATTTTTGAAGTGACAATTCCATTTAGTCATTTATGTTTGCGGGACTAGGTGAAATGATAATTTTTGAGCTTTTAAAGGAAAAATCAAATTAGTTCACATTAATCATATACTCCTTCCGTCCCGCAAAATTGTTCCTGATTTTCTTTTTGGGTCGTCCCACAAAATAGTTCAATTTCACTTTTTGGAAAATTTTATATGTCTACAAGTCATTTACTTTTTATTACTCAATTGCAATCGTACATTTCCATTTTATTCTTACTTTCTTAAACTACGATCTAAATTATAGTGAAAACTATTTTATAGGACGGACGGAGTATATCAAGAGTTAGAACATACACAATACATCTAGGAAATAACAATAACAACAATCTGACAATTAGCTAAGGAACCAGTTGCCACACTAGCCCGTGTAGGAGCCACTCCACAACTAAATAGTACTCCCTCCGTCCCCTTTTAAAAGTCCCGGAAGAGGGTGACACGAGTTTTAAGAAAAGTGGGTTTGTGTGGTTAATATTAATTGATAAAGTAGGAATAAAGTAAGAATAAAGTAAGAATGATTTTGAACCACACAAACTTTACCAAATGAGGTATGGGACATTTAAATAGGGACATCCCAATATAGTAAAATGGGACATTTAATTGGGGACGGAGGGAGTACTCCGTAATTATTAGCAAAAATATTTAATACAGAGTAGGAAAAGAGATGTAGGTTTTGACTAAAAACATTTGATAAAAACTGCCCGTTGATGTACTTCTATATTTGCTAAAACTGCTTAAATGGTTGTATTGGCTGATTTATTAAAAAATTATATTTTAAATATATTTAAAATTATTTATTAACAATAACTTTAGTCAATACAGTCACAAAAGTAACTTCAACCTTACTTTTTTCTTATTATTACACAATTCAACGCGCGAAATCAAATGTTACGTGTTTGGTTAAAAAGTTGGCTGATAAGTCTGATAAGCCGCAAAACAGTGTCACCAAACGGGCTTCAGATCAAATGCATAAATGGTACCTTAACTATTGGTAATATTGCATTTTGGTATCTTAACTCTTAAATGAATCAAAACGGTACCTTAGTTATACATAAATGTTTCGAATTGAGATTTTATTCAAAATTTCGACCACAAAATCACATGTGGCAGCCAGAATTCCATGCGTAATGTCCACTTCATCTTATTTTTGTTCATATGATCACTATAGGGTTACTCTACATATGGAATTTTGATCGAAAATTTGAATAAAATCTCAATTCGAAACATTCATGTATAGTTAAGGTGCGATTTTGATTCATTTAAGAGTTAAGATAGCAAAATGCAACATTACCAATAGTGAATGTATGATTTATGCATTTGACCCTAATTTTCAAAGACTTGTGAAATACTACTAAGTACTACGTAGCACGGAGTATAATCTATCATTGAAAGGGAAAAAGTGTATCATATACTCTACGAGACAAAAGCCTTGGCTTAATTGATAATTTCATGAGATCAACCAAAAAAAGATAAATGCATACTTAAATAAATAAATAAATAAATAAATAAATAAATAAATAAATAAATAAATAAATAAATAAATAAATAAATAAATAAATAAATAAATAAATAAATAAATAAATAAATAAATAAATAAATAAATAAATAAATAAATAAATAAATAAATAAATAAATAAATAAATAAATAAATAAATGGTGTTAACGAACCTGCAAGAAATATGTTCACATCCACCACTACTTTCGACAAACATGGCGCACTTGGGACATCTCTGCCATTTTTGCTCTTTGGCCAACTTGAAAAACTTAGCGTCCATCTCTTTTTCATTCATCTTTCCGCCTTTTTATTTGCTTCCCGGCCGGATAGATGCGTTTTGATAAAAACAGCTCCCCTAGATTTTTTGAGAATAATACGATTACTATCCAACTGAAGTACTGAAGTATAAGAATCCAAAGGCCTTATATATAGGAGTATATAGGAATTAATTCGATGTAGCATAGTTTTTAGTCT